TCAGCAGACACCCGCCAAACTTGAGCAGAGCGGGAGCGAGACGCGCGCCTGCGTCCGGCCCACTTTTTCCCAGGGGCGCCGGGACTTTTGGGGAACTCTGAGCCCGGGACTAGCGACCCTGCCTGCGGATCGCCGTGCAATTATGGCCCGATAGCTCTCTCTGCGCCCCTCTTGGGCGCCGCACGTGGCTCCTTGTCGAAGTCTAGAGGTGGCCCTTGCGGAAGGGCAAATCGGGGAGGGGGCGCCGGGCTGGCCGAAGACCTCCCACGCCCCTCAGCGCATCCAGCAGCCCCGCAGGGCGGAATGAGACCGGATGACTCGGTGCCCCAAGAGTCCCTTCCTGTCCTCCACCCTGGCGAGGATCCTGCAGGAAGCCCCCCCACTTCACCCTTGCGCAGCACAAAGGCCGCGATTCCCTCGCTTTGGACCCACGGACCTGGCCACTCACAGCTGCCCAGCGGGCAGACCTGGCGCCGTGGCTGGAATACGTGCGATAAATCAGTAGGGTAGGGCAGGAGGTGAGGCCAGCTCCGCCCAGGTGACACCGCCCCCTTGCCAGCAGCTGACCCTGCCCTGAACTCGCTCCTGGGCCACGCCCCCAGCAGGCCCCTGCAGGGGGCATAGCGCTTTGTACAGCTGGCATTGTGTGACAGTGGGAGGGGCTTTGAGGACAAAAAAGAACTGATCTGAGGATGAAATTATATGGATCCTCCCTGGATCAGCTGCCGGAAGCCTTGGTTCGCCCCAAGCTGCCCTGCGTGACCCAGGAGAAGACGCTGGGAGGAATTTCTGCGCCCTCTGGGCTGTGGCACTCTGGGTGGAACCCTACCCTTGATCCTGTGTGTGCCCAGAAGCACCTGACCAGCCCAGTACCACAACCCTTTCTCTTTTGGCTTTCCTGGGCCAGGACAAAAGCAGGTGACACCCCACCTCACTGCCAGCCCACAAGGACCCCAAAGGCCCTATGGAAGCCCTCCTCTGCGGAAAGTCAGTCCTACCTCTTCCCAGCTTGAGGAGGAAACATGGGCCAGGCAAGGTGGTGGAAAGAGGTGGAGGTGGAGCTGGCCTCCCAGGACATACACCAGGCCTCACTGGAAATAGATTCAGGCCAAGGGATGGGTGAACATTTGAATCTCCTGTTTGAGGCCCTTCCTTTGTGAGTGGGCCCACAGCAGGACAGCTACCTCAGGGGGGGCTGAGCTGTCATTGCCTGAGATGAACTGATCCAGCAGCAGCAGGGGAGTCTTCTAGCATCTCCAGGAGAAACTGCAAAGCAGGGCGACAGAACGTAAACCCCAGCCCCCCAACTTCTGCTCTGATGGACTATGCAAGCACCTTCCCACTACAAAGCTTCCTCTGTCTAATGGCAGGACCCCTTCCCTCCCTCTTCAGAACGGCTTGTCAGGGATGAAGGGGATTCCTTATCTACAGATCCAGCAGAGTTGTGCCCAAAGGGCTCCTCGTGGAGAAGCTCCTCTTTCAATAGCCCCTCACCTGAGACACCCTATTAATGCATGTGTCTCTCCCACAAAGAAACGGTGACTGTCCTCACAGCACTTGGCCTGCCTGTCCAGTCAAGGAACCAACCAGAAGGCAAGACACATACACCCCACACACACACATACACCACTACCACCCACACCCCCACACCACCCACACCCACACCCCACCCACACCCCACCCCCACCTGGGACACAGGCAACCTCTGGACACTAGTGCAGGTGTTCATCTGCTGCCCTCTGGTGGGTACTGAGGGCACAATCACCACCTTGTTTGAGCAGCCCAGCTGCCCCCAGGAAAAAGTGCTGCCTTTGACAGGGCTGCACCTAGAATGGGAGCTTCAGCCCTGAGAATAGGCAAGTTAGGAGCCAATCACAACACCTCCCTGAGTCTCTATTTCCTAATCTGGCAAATGGGGACAGTCACATGTCCTGAGAGTCTCTGCAGAATAGATGTGAATGAATAAGAACTTGGATGAAACTCTCCTGATTGCATCAACTCAACGCAGACACTAGGATGACTAATAGAGGAGACACTTCCAGAAAACCCTACTTCATCCACATCGTCTTGGACTGGAAGCTGTTTGCCGGGACTGCATACCTCCAGGGGGCATACTTTCCACGGCAATCTTATGGAGATGGGCTCCAGGGGAGCTACTTACCTAGACTCCATGTGGACATGCTCCATGTCAGCTCAGTTTGACCTTCAGTCCAATCAGCAAGAGTGGCTTTCTTCCGTGAGAGAGACCCTGCTCGGAAGGCCCAAAGGAGACTCGGGAGCCTGGGGTTCCCCATCCAGCAGAGTAGAGGAAACCCACAGGACGGGTAGTGCCAGCACCAGCCACGTGCCCCAAAGTATGGGATGTCACAGACAGGAAGGGGAATGCAAGGAGAAGCACACCTGGTTTCCCAGAGGAACTGGGACATGAGCTGGCCATCAAAGACTGGATATGTCTGAGGTGAAGAGAAGAGGAGACACAGGTATGGGAAGGGTAAGTCCCCCTGAGCAGGGCCTTGGACGAGTGATATTTTAAACCATGAAGGACTGAATCTCACCACTTTCAAAGCCTTCAACAATAAACTGTAGTGAGAGCTTTGAGTCCTCCTCTCTTCCTGTCACTCACATCCCAGCAGGCCACATCCACGATCTATCTAGATTCTGACCACTGCTCACCCCTCCCTCAGCAAGGTCCAGGTCTTCTCCCTGGGTTCCACCAACAACCCTCACCTCCATCACTGTCTCTCAGCAGCCAACCTAGGTGAGACATTCAACCTAGGCATCATTCGGATGGGGCCCTGTGACCCCTGCCTCAGTAAATTCTAAACACTTTGCTGGCCTCCTCTTCTGCCGCCCCTCCATCCCCCACAGGACACTCCAGTACACCAGCACCTTGTTCCAGACCCAGCACACACGCTTGACCTCAGGGCCCTTCCACTGGCCTGCCCCTCTGCCTGGGACTCTCCCCTAGAGAGCTGCCTGGCCCACAGCCCACTTTCTTTCAACACGACCTGTCCTGGCCTCGCCCTCGTGCCTACCTTGTTTTCCTTCCCAGTTAACGGAGTCACTAGGGGGACTAGGAAGTGCAAACTGTACCAGGTGACATTGCCAAAGGGGATGATACCAAAATGACTGTCTACAAAATTTTTGTGTAGTGTTTCAGCAGAAATTTGTTATTTTTTATAGGAATATCCCTATAGTTGGTTATAACGACAAAAATGTTTTTTGCACGTCCAGCTTATATGTGTCAATATACCTACAAGGCTAAAACTCTATGCTAATTTACTTTTTGAACCTTCTAATGTGCCCTGGTCAGAGCTGTTATTATTACCCAATTACAATTACAATCACATGGTTTAGTCTGCAGGCACTACAAGGTCCATTGTGTGTGGGAGAAGCTGACACCATAAGTTACCATGCTGGGTGACACCAAGCCTAGTGAAGCCACTGTTCCTAGCACTCCCCTCACTACGAGGGTTGGTTTGTTCACTGTCCGTGTTTTCCTGCTAGACAGTCAGCTCCATCCAAGTGGGAATCATCTCTAGTTTGTCCCCCTCTTTATGTTCAGGACCACCAACTAGGCTCTACACACAGTAGGTGTTTAAGACTGTGAATAAATCAACAGCTTGGCAAAGTACTACAACTGCAATCTAAAAACCCAGTATATCCCCTTGTAGAAGCCACAGAAAGATGTGGCTTCAGTGGATTCATAAGTAGCAAGCCAACTAAATAGGCCACATTATCTATTTGTTGATTTCTAGCACACTTTAGTAATATTTGCAGCCTATTATAACATTATCTCTCTGTGAATATTTAACTACCCAGGAATCACTGTGACATAGCACATGATCATTTTCAGCTCATTCTATTTTAACAGTATTCATAATTGTAATCATCACTCCCATTTTGAGTGTTAGGTGGCTGGCCGAGTGGTTGGTAAGTATGACCTTGATTCAGCCACCCAGCACTTCTGTTAGCTATAGCAACAATTACTGTCCAAAGCGATGCAATGCAGGAAGCAGCTGACACACACAGAGCACGTTGGTGAGTGCTCAAGGTCATCTGGGGTGCTTGTGATAGCCGGATCCAAAGGCCAGGCCTCACCGGCACCTCTGCACACTTCTGAGACTTTCTGCTGTCTCTCGACACACTGCCTTGGGTGGATAGGTGACAATGGCAGAGGGGGAATCTGGGTCCCCTGCTGCAGTGTCTAAAGCACGTAGATTCTGACTCAGCAACAGAGCACAGTGGCTTTAAATGCATGCTCACGTAAACACCCTGCCGCTGTCCAGAGGGGGTGTAATCATGAACAAGAGCACAAAGTCAGCTGGAAAGTGGCTGCTGGGGACACAAGAATG